GACAGTTCAGTGGGATTGTGCTGTGGTTCAAGGGGAAATCCTTTGCTGCTGCTGTTTCTGCTGCTGCTGCTGTTGCTGCTGCTGCTGCTGCTGCTGCTATTGCTGCTGCTGCTGCTGCTGCTGCTGCTGCAGGGTGAGCTGCGGGCGTCTGAGGCAGCAGCAGAGAGTCAGTTCGCTTTGCGTACATCTGCATTGAGGGAGACAGCAGCAGCAGCAGAAAAGGAGACAGAAGAAATAAAGAAGCAGCTAGCTGCTGCTGCTGATGAAAGAAATACACTAGCAATAGAAAGAAACCGTATACTCAAACTCAAAGACTCACTCACCAAAGGTAGGGTTTAGGGTTTAGGGTTTAGGGTTTAGGGTCTGGGGTTTAGGGTTTAGGGTTTAGGGTTTAGGTATACTCAAACTCAAAGACTCACTCACTAAAGGTAGGGTTTAGGGTTTAGGGTTTAGGGTCTGGGGTTTAGGGTTTAGGGTTTAGGGTTTAGGCATACTCAAACTCAAAGACTAGGGTTTACTGTTTAGGGTTTAGGGTCTAGGGTTTACTGTTTAGGGTTTAGGGTTTAGGGTTTCGCTGTTGAATGGAGAGAGGGAGCAGGGTTTAGGGTTTAGGGTTAAACTAGGGTCAGCGGCAGATGCGTTGCTGGCGTTTAGGGTTTAGGGTTTAGGGTTTAGGGTTTAGGGTTTAGGGTTTAGGGTTTAGGGTTTGTGCATGCAGAACTAGAGCGTTCTAAGGCCGCCAATGATCAGGCTGCTGAATCTATCAAAAGGTAAACCCTAAACCCTAAACCCCAAACCCTAAACCCTAAACCCTCTCATGAGCATCAGCCTGACAGCTAAACAAACTCAGCAGCAACAGCAAGAACAGCAGCAGCAACAGCAGCAGCAACAGCAGCCGCAGCAGCAGCAGCAACAGCAGCAGCAGCAGCAACAGCAGCAGCACTTTGTTGGTTTTGTTGCTGCTGCTGTTTTGTATTTACTTAGGCTAACACAGAACAGCCAGCAGCTGCAGCAGCAGTGCGAGGAGCAGCAAAGACAGCTGGAGCAGCAGCAGCAGCAGCAGCAGCAGCAGCAGCAGCAGATACAATACCTGCAGCAGCAGCAGCAGCAGAGAGTTCGTGAACTGCAGCAGCAAATAAAAGAAATACAAAAAAAAAAAGAAGCAGCAGAAGAAAAACACAGAGCTGCTGATGCTGCTGCTGCTAGCCTGAAGAGAGACAAGACACAGCTGGAGGGGGGAGTATTGCTGCTGCAGCAGCAGCAGCAGCAGCTGCAGCAGCAGCTGCAGCAGCAGCAGCAGCAGCTGCAACAGCAGCAGCAGCAACTGCAGCAGCAGCAGCAGCAGCAGCAGAAACAGCAACTTCATATGCAGCAGCAACATCAACAACAGATTCAACACATGCAAAAACAAATACAGCAGCAGCAGCAGCAACTGCAGCAGCAGCAGCAGCAACTGCTGCTGCAGCAGCAGCAGCAGCAATATGAAGCTGAAAGACAGTCGAAGCAAATACCCGCAGCTGTAGACGATGCAGCAACAAGGTGGGCTGCTGCTGCCTGCTGCTGCTGCTGCTGCTGCTGCTACTGCTGCTGCTGCTGCTTGCTGCTGCCTGCTGCTTGCTGATGCCTGCTGCTGCTGCTGCTGCTGCTGCTGTCGGTGCTGCTGCTGCTGCTGTCGGTGCTGCTGCTGCTGCTGTCATTTGTGCTGCTGCTGCTGCTGCTGTTGCTGCTATGCCGCAGGCCTTCGACAGCAGACACCGCCTGCCGTGAAGAAGAGACAGCAAGACTCAAGGCGAGGCCTAGGGTTTAGGGTTTAGGGTTTAGGGTTTAGGGTTTAGGAATGAGCGAGGGTTTAGGGTTTAGGGTGTTCGTTGCAGAACCGCGTTCTTGCCTACCGAGACCTACCTGAACCCTCCTTTAGGGTTTAGGGTCTAGGGTTTAGAGTTTAGGGTTTAGGGTTTAGGGTTTAGGGTTTAGGGTTTTGTGTGTAGGCGGAGAATGAGAGTCTGAAGGCGAGGCTACGCAAGCTAGGAAGCAGGTCTTGGGGGGCCCCCCCGGGGGCCCCTGGGGCCCCCCCTGCTGCAGCTCCTGCAGCAGCAGTAGCAGCAGCAGGAGCAGCAGCAGCAGCAGCAGCAGTAGGGGCCCCCGCGTGCGCAGAGGGGGGCCCCCATGAAGAAGAAGAGGAGGAGGGGGCCCCTTCCCCAGCAGCAAAAGAAGGTAGCAGCAGCAGCCCGATCAAATCTGCTGCTGCACCTACCACCACCGCTGCTGCCGCCGCTGCTGCTGCTGCTGCTGCTGCTGCTGCTGCTGCTGCTGATGAAAGCCCCCTAGAAGGGGGGCCCCCAGGCACGCGGCTGCTGCACAAAAGTATTAACGATGCAGCATATAGAGAGGGGGGGGCCCCCCTGCGAGAGGGGGGGGCCCCCCTGCGAGAGAGGGGGGCCCCCCATGAGGAGGGGGGGCCCCCCCACCAGCAGCAGACGGATAAGAGAGAAGATATAAACAGCAGCCTGCTGCAGCAGCACGCGGAGTATCCACCCAAACAGCAGCAGCAGCAGCAGCAACAGCAACAGCAGCAGCAGCAGCAGCAGCAGCAGCAAGCGGGATCTACTTCTCCCACGGCCTGCGCCTTGCCTTCGGCAGATTGATCGCCTCAGCTCACACCCTAGCTAGCCACAGCTAGCCACAGCTAGCTACAGCTAGCCACAGCTAGCTACAGCTAGCTACAGCTAGCCACAGCTAGCCACAGCTAGCTACAGCTAGCCACAGCTAGCTACAGCTAGCTACAGCTAGCCACAGCTAGCCACAGCTAGCTACAGCTAGCCACAGCTAGCTACAGCTAGCTACAGCTAGCTACAGCTAGCTACAGCTAGCTCCCTCTACCCAGCTAGCGATGGCTGCGCCGGCAGCGCATGCAGCGAAGCAGCCGTAGCTAGCCACAGAAAGCTACAGCTAGCTGTGGGTGTGCAGCTAGCTCTAACTCTCTAGCTAGCTAGCTGCTGTCGCCATATATATATATATATATATATATATATATATATATATATATATATATATATATATATATAT